AAATCCACAGCAGGCAGCTGGGTCTGCTCCATGCTGGGTCAGAGACTCCAGGTGTGTCACCTGCCCACCCTGGGACACACAGCTGACAGCACCAGCCCAGAGGTGCATTGCAGCCCCAGGAACTCCCCACGGGAGGAACAACAGAGGCCACAATACGAGCCCTTACGGTTATTTTCCAGGTGGGTTTTGTAAATATCATCCGGCACTTTGGGCTCCATGATGTCCAGCTGCAGAGACAAGGGGAAAGGGGGTTACCTCCTGGCCAGCACACTCCAGGGTAGCTGCCCTACAAGGGCAACCTCTCCAGGTGGTGCCTGGCCAAGCTCATAGGGACAAAGGATCTCTCCCAGATCTTGCCACAGAACCTGGCAACCAGGGCAGACCAGTTAGAGGCAGCCCAGGGGTCTTTTCCCAGCCAGGACACTCACCTCTCTGGCCAAGGCCAGGAAGTTGCTGTTGAGCTGGACATTGGACATGATCTCAGTCAGGTCCTCATACTCCTCCACATCTTCATTCAGCTCCAGGAAGACCCCGTGGCGACCCAGCATAAAGGCCATCTGCTTCTGGACAACTCTGTGCAGAGAGGAGAGGTTTCACAAGTGCCCAGACCGCAGCCAGCCGCAGCACAAACACACGCTCACCGAACGGCATGGACGTGTCACCCAGCCTGCTCTGCTCCAGAGGAACACAAGAGCAGCCCAGAGATGACCTGCTCTTGTCCATCTTGATTTCAGAGACAAGAGTCTCAGTCCAAACCCCCAGATACTTCTGGTGGCAGCAAGATCCAACCCAGCTCTGCCTGGACAGGGAGTCATGCCCCACCACGATGGCCAAAGGCTCCAGAGGGCAAGGAACAAGTCTCCACTTACACATCTTTGCAGGAAGTAAAGATGTCCTCCACCAGCTCCACATCATTGAGCATCAGAGCCAGGCGCAGGGCTTCAGGGTAGCGGCTGAACTTGCGGAAGATGCCCAGGGCACAGCGCAGGAGAGCCGAGTTCTCAGGCTCTGGGACGTAACTTACGCAGCTTTGAGGAGGAGACGGACATGAAGGTGATGACCACGTCAGGCAACCTCAGCCCACCAGGGACCAGGCCCCTTCCAGTGCCCTCAGCATGCCAAGGTCCCTCACCTGGTCAGGTAGAGGCACACTTTGGAGTAGGCGTTGTCATCAATGTACTTCTCCAGCATGTCCATCTGCTCGATCTCCATGAGCAGGTCACAGGCTTCGTGCTCTGCGTTGTGGGCCATGTTGTAGGGGACAATCTCCTTGACCAGGGTGAGGAGCGTGTCCCTCTGAGCCTTGTCAGCTTCATCAATCTCCTGCCACTCCTTAGCCACCTCCCCTGCCAGGTGCCTGTGGGGACAAAGGGACATCACTGCCACAGAAACCAGCTTCACCAGACCCCAAGGATGGGGAGCAGCTGCTGCCAGTTAGCCAGGGCTGTGCATTGTTTACAGGGGCTCCACGTTCCTGCAAGAGCTTTTGGGGGACAAGCCCAGAGGAGGAACAGGGTTATAAGCAGATGTTAGAGAGGCCATGGCAGCAAGATCTCTGCAGTTGGCAAATCACCGTGGAGAGGGGATGAGGTGGCACGTGTGCAGATGTGACAGGGGCAGGTGAACACAAGCTCAGCGAGCCGGGACACCTCCCAGCCAGCCAGAGTCAAAGGGAAATGAGCTGGCTCTCTTGTTCTGGAGCCCCCATCACAAGAGAGACATGGAGCAGCTAGAACAAGTCCAGAGGAGGCCACAGGGATGATCCAAGGGCTGGAGCACCTCTCCTAGGAGGACAGGCTGGGAGAGTTGGGGCTGTTCAGCCTGGAAAAGAGAAGGCTCCAGGGAGATCTTATAGTGGCCTCCCAGTACCTGAAGGGGCTACAAGAAAGCTGGGGAAGGACTTTTCATAAGGGCAGTTAATGACAAAACAAGGGGAAATGGCTCTAAACTGGAAGAGGGGAGGTTTAGATTAGATATTAGGAAGAAGTTCTTCACTGTGAGGGTGGTCAGACAGTGTCCCAGGTTGGCCAGAGAAGCTGTGGCTGCTCCTCCCTGGAAGTGTTTAAGGCCAGGCTGGATGAGGCTTTGAGCAACCTGATCTAGTGGAAGGTGTCCCTGCTGATGGCAGGGGGGTTGGAACTGGATGATCTTTAAGGTCCCTTCCAACCCAAACCATTCTATGATTCTATGAAATCCCTCTGAGCCTTTGTTCTTCCCCAAACCCTGCTCCCACCCAGGCTTACCTGACGTATTCGTGCCCCCAAGACGCCAGCTCCTCCTGGGAGCCCACCAGACGGTACTTCAGACACTCGCGC